CCCCCAAGCATGTTATTTGAAAGTTTTATGTATTCGGATTTTTCAATGTTGCCCTTTAACCCACATTAAAAGACCTATCTCCACTGAATGGTATTTTTTTTAAATGTGTGCATTGGTATATGTCTGCCAAGGCAGTGCCCAGCTACCTTTTTTCATTAGCTTTCAAATTAGCCTTAAAAAGGACCAAAAAATGCAAGATTACTAAAGGAGTCTAGAATCTTTACACAATAAATTGTGTGAATATTCATGTCAATTATCCAGTTATGTGAAAAGTAAATTCCTGTTTACATAGTTTATGTGTACATGATTGGATAATTGAACTGAATATTCACTCAAATTATGGATTTGAAGATCCTAAGCTCCTTTAGTTAATCAGCCCAGTGTTTTTACTTATTCCTTTCATATGCCTCTCTCTCTCTATATATATATATATCGAAAAATGTTTGTACATTCTGTAAAAATAATTGCAACAGTGAAATGTCTTTCTTTTATTCACACTGTAACTGCTTTCTTATATACACCAAAAAAAGGGAAATACAACTCATAATGCAATATACATCATTGACCATACGTGGAATATTGATCATTGTTGTTAAATTATTGTTTGCTGTACAAGATGTAATCTGAAATGAATCATGCAAAAAATGTATCTTTTTTATCAGACTTTTTCCTGCAGATCTCATTAAAATACGTATAAGACACCTATTATTTTACAGGGTGCAAATTGCTGCCACTATTTAGATCTTCTCATACATGTCAAATTATTTCAGCACAAAGGAAGAGGGGAAATTGCTTTCCGATAATGAAAAAATGCTCACTTCCCTTTGCGATTTAGATATAGAATATTGTAACGGTTAGCAGTTTCTTTTTTATAGTCATGAAATATTGGCCTGGTACACATTTTAACAAATATTGAAGCAAAATATGTAAAATCATTGATGCAAACAGAAAAGAGATCTGTTGTCTATGAATGATACCTGACCAACATGTTTTTTTTCTAACATAGAAGCAAATGAAAAAGAGTGCAAACACTTTCACAATATTTAAATCAGGGCATTTTTAGCAAGAACATTTTCTTCTTGTTCCCCATGGTGCATTATGAAGCTTAAAATATCTGCATTTTAATCCAAAGGATAAATTCCTTTTTTCAAGCCAGCTATAGTGCTTTTTGCTGAATTATCCAAATATGTAAACAGCGAGATCACATGTATTATTTAAAATAGACCCTTTTTAAAGGTAATAGTATGCCAAGTGGCTCGCAACACAGAGCTTCATAAGAGTAAGAAATAATTCAAAATTTATATGTACAAGTTTTAAATACATTTTCTTCTCTTTTTCTTCATTTTGATGGTGCTCCATTATTGGACAATGATGTGACATACAGTATTTCCAGCAACCCATATTGCTCCTGTAGAAATCTGAAACATCACAGATCTAATATATTAGAAGAAGACCTATAGTGCATCTGTAGTAATGCTATAATTATAAAACCACCACTTTTATTGTACAGCAGGCACCTCCACGTGCAGCACATCTGTTTTAATCCACCAAAGAGCACCCTTGGATCCCTGAAAATTGAGACATTCTGATACTCAAATAGCGCCTATGGTTTTAAAATTTGCTCATACCTCCTGTCTACTGCAGGTTAATATGTATCTATTAATTATCAGCCAATAGAAGATTAAAGACATTGTAAATCAACAGCATACAAGGGTTATTAAAGGAATTTAAAAATATTGGGCTTTAAACAGAAGGTAGACCTAGCACAAAAAGTACAATGTACAACATTCAGACAGAATATGTCTATAATTAAGCATTGCAGCCTTACTAGTGACCTAATACTGTTAAGGATCACAAATGTGAAATAAGCTATATTTTAGCTCATAAGAATAGACTATGTGGAAATGTGATTCCATTGGCATGGAAATATCTGTGATTGGGCAGCCAACATGGGCTCACACTACACCACAAATTCCAGTCTTTTTTTGTGTATGAGAGTGGACACATTGCCAGTTACTTGTTATGGAGTGCATTCTTTATACCAACTATGGTCTCCAAGTCTGTCATCATGGTAGAATTTTGAACGGGCTGTTCAACTATGGGGCTCCACCAGGAGCTGTTGCCCCAGGTGGGTTGTGCAGTATAACCTCTCTATTTTATATCTTTACATCTTGATGTTATGCTGTTTTCGTTTTCACATATTTTTCTGTGACTTTGACAACTACGATTTAAGCTATAACAATAGAAATTACTCCCAAACCCTTATGTGACCCCATGAATGACCCGTTCAAATTGTCTCCTTTTTAAACACCAGGATTCTCCTTTCAGTCCGTATGGACATAGATGACCGTTACAAGTTTATTTCTGTATTATTTTTTACTTATGATTATAGACGGGTAAAGGGTCTCAGAAATGTCATTTAAGGCCCCACAGGTGCCATTATGCTATATTGAAGTATATGTAACATTCAAAGTATACCTTGTTGAAAAACGATATGGCCGGCTGATTGCTTGATATCCGGCAACCAATTAGCCTCACTAATCGGCTATTTATTACATCCATACAAGACTCAGAGCACACACCCCGCTGAAGAAGCCCCTGAGTGGGGAGGAAACGCGTCAGGGTTATGTGTGCCAACAACTTCCCTGGACACTCATTAAAGCTCATCCCGCACATCAGCCGCGGCAATAGCACTGTTCAGCCTGGGCTTTGATGGTGCGGAGACGGAGCTCAGTCGGCCGGGATTTGGTCAGAGTCCAGCCTGCATCGGAATCCCCAACTTATCCAGCAGAGTCTGAGTTAAACGACCGGAAGACAGCTTGCTGTATTTTGCACAATCATCGTACTGGGAACCTTCTACAGTTGAGACCCCTGCATATACCTTTTTGCTTTGTTTACTGTGCGGCCGCACACATCTACACGGAAATGCTTTTGGGTTAGCTCTCAAATTTGAAATTCGAGCCCGAGGGCTAGTAAGAGCCCCAAGCAGGGGAAAAGGGAAGGGCGCTTGCATATTTAGCCCTGCCTATCTATCCCCACCTCCGGATCCCAACTACAATTACCCATTGAAGCAAACATATCATTCAGCATTGTGGAACTCGAGCAGGACTGTCTCTCCCTGAGCTCCCTGAGCAACATGAGTTGTGAGTAACCTGGGATACATTGTATCCGTACATGAGATAATTATATATATAGTAGGTGGCAACTTTTTATTACCACATTAGCTGGAGTGCAGACCACCCATGATTCCTATATTACTGTGTACCCTAGGGAAGTTTTTTAACTGTTTTTAAATGTCTTGTTGTGGATGTATTGTTTAAGTTTTTCTATGATTAAATATTCAAATTGTTAAATTACGTATTTTCTACCTGTTTACTGAACCAGCTCCGAGTAAGGGATTTCTATTATCTTGGGGACACTTCATATTTTGAATAGCGTTGTTGAAACCCTGGAGACTGGTATACTACATTATATTATATGGTTCAGCGTAACTCCATCCTGTTCCCCTATTTGCTGCATATGGTCTCTAAGGCACTGTATCCAATCCCAATATGGCCTTAAATGTAAGGACTGCTGAATATTTAATATGCTAGGCAAGCCCAATAGCAGAAGAGATGCTTCAAAGTACAGCAATACAGATCCACCAATTTAACTATACTGTAGGTAGATCAGCAGAAGATTATTATGGGTCAAATGAATGAGTTTCTGCCCTATGAATATAATCACTGCTTTATTGTGCTGCTTTATTATATAACCACACATCTGCCACTTAATATACTTGATTTGATTTGATTCTTAGCAATCATATTTAGGGTATAACAAAGAAAGTGGACCTATTCTGCAGCCCCCCTCTCTCAACCTGCTCCCAACTTACCTGACTTGTGGAGTGCTTCTCCCTGCATGCTTCTGTGTATTTTTTAATTGAGTGTGTGTGTATTTATCTTGCTCTAACACTTCCCATATCCCTGTAGATTCTGCGAAAGAAGAAACTCATCCAGGAGTTTCTTGAATGTATCACTCTCACAGTAAATTACCCCTTGCAAATTCTAAGATTGAATTCCTTCTCCTCTAACCTCTTGTTGTGCCCAAGGGGTCTCAATAAAGTTTTGGGATTAAACAGCTTGTTCCTAATATTGGGGTCCCCATTGATGATTTTGAACACTGCAATAAGGTCCCCTATTAATCGCCTCTTTTCTAAGGTGAATAAGTTTCAATGTTGAATGCAGTCTTCATAACTCAGGCCTTCAATTCCTTTAATTAATTTTTTAGCCCTTTTCTGAACTCTCTCCAGTTTCAGGTTGTCCCACCTGAGAGTTGGCGACCAGAACTGTACCGCATACTTAAGATGGGGTCGAACCAAGATTTATGAAGTGGAAGTATTACTCTTTGATCCCTTGCTACAATTCCTCTTTTAATACACACCAGTATCTTGTTAGCTTTACTGGCTGCTGCTTGGCATTGTTTACTATTGCCAAATCTGTGATCTATGAGCACCCCCAGGTCTTTTTCTATGTCTGACTTCCTAGGCTTGAAGGCAAAACATTAATAAATGCACATATTTTTTGCAGTAGGGGTTCATTCATTAATTTGTTGCAAAAAGTTAAATACATCTTTAAACTTTTGTGTATATTTGAAATTGTTCACAATGTGAGTACATAATTATCCCTGTATGATATGTGTACAATTAATAGTTTCTTTTTGTATACATATGCAATGTATCTATTGCTATAGTATAAGCAAAAAACAAACGCAACAAAACGAAAAACAGTAATTCTTTTTTGGGCATGTATATTGAATATCATTTGCATAATATTGTATTCTAGTAGTACAAAAAAAAAATATATAAAACAGTCTGCAACTTTTGCCCTCCAGCTTATGCAGCAATATTTGCAGACAGCATATGTTATTGTATTTAGCATATACGTATCAGCCATTTTAAGTAAAAGTAACACTGTACACATATATCACTGTCATCTCAAATATGATTTTGTTTCTTTCAGCCTGTGATCTTATGAACCAAGGCATATTGGCCCTCGTCAGCTCTATCGGATGTGCCTCAGCCGGGTCCTTGCAGTCTCTTGCAGATGCAATGCATATCCCTCATCTCTTCACACAGCGATCCACTGCCAGAACACCAAGAAGTAGTTGTGGGCTCAATAGGAGTAAAAGGATTGATGACTATACCTTGTCTGTTCGCCCCCAAGTCTATCTGAATGATGTTATCCTAAGAGTCGTCACCGAATATGGCTGGCAGAAATTCATCATTTTTTATGACAACAACTATGGTAATTTTACTCTCACATTTCTGCATAAAATACAGAAGGCTGACACTTTTCCATGTCCATTAATGTTTTAAGATTAGGTGTTAAAAAAGTATTCTTGAAATGCCAAACATTTGCATGATATATTTTCATCATAAAGAGATGATAATGCATAAAAATGGGTATTTGAAAATTTAAACAACCTGCTAAAAATCAAACTTCATCCTGTCTAGTTAGTAGAATAAGACAATTTTCTTTCTGTAAAATATAGATAAATATCACATAAGTAAAAGGATCATCACTGATAATTGAATGAATACATTTGCATGGATTACTTACTAAATGATAGTCTCCATATTAAGATATGTAAATAATAGCTGTCACTCACTGATATTGTTGCACACATGTCTAATCACATACTGCTTGTTCCTGTTGTCACAAACTATTGTAATAGAAAACAAAAGATGGGTGTGAATCGGAAAAAGATTGGCATAATGATCTATTTCTTTCCTTCAGATGAGGGCTTGTACTTATATAAGAATATGTAGACATTATTCTTAACGTATACTGTATGTATAGTCAAAACCTTTTTTAGCATTGAATAAAGTAGGGAGAGCTAAGAGTTGAGTATATTTAAGAAAATGTCTCTCCACTTCCTATCTCAAATACACCACAGTTAGAGAAAATCTCCCAAAGTGAAAGCAATTCCAGCAGTGACAGCTAGCTCCGCCCAACAGTTTTCTATTGCCCAGTGGTTCTGCTGCAGTCACAAAAAAAAGGAAAAAAGACTCTCCTGGGCACTCTGGGAGCCTCCCGGCTGCCCAGCAGAGAAACACTGCTTTTTTTTTTTTCATTATTCTGACACCATGCATTGGAAAGCATTGCTAGATTCCTAATGGCTATTTCAATTTGCAATAGCCAATAGTAAACTAGCATTGTACCTGCACTCTGCTGATGGACCTGATGGAGAACTGCAGCAGAGGGCGGGTACAATGCTAATTTACTATTGGCTATTGCAAATTTAAATAGCCAATAGGAATCTAGCAATGCATTCCAATGGGCAAAAACATTTTTGTTTGTTTTTTCTATTCTGACACGACTCCGTGTCAGAATAAAAAAAATAGAAACAGCAGTGTTTCTCTCCTTGGCGGCCGGGAGCGGAAGACTCCCGGAGCGCCAGGGAGAGGTTGCTGTTTGGAGATCAGTGTCCCTGGTTAGCAGGTAACCAGGGACGCTGACCTCTCTGCAAGTGGCCGGAGCCAGCCGTAAGAACACGGCTGGCTCCGCCCAGCTGTCAGAAGCAGGCTGTCGGCCGGCCAATGGCCTGCCGCTCGGCCAGCTTCGGCTTTTAGCGCGGCTCAGCCGAGCCGATGCATATGCGTTCGGCTCGACTGAGCCGCTCGGCCTCGTTCGGGAGCTGCACGGGCTATAGTGAATAGCCCGTACAGCACCCCTTTGGTTCTACTGAACCGAAGGGGTCCTGGGGCCGAAGCTAGCCGAAGGATTGGCCAAAGCTACGGCTAGATCCTTCAGCAGCTTCGTGAATAGACCCCTTAGACTCAATTTTTCTCCAAGCCACAATTAAGCCACACACCCAGGTTCTAAGCCCCACTCTGTCTATCCATCTGAAAAAGCAGGTATGTCAGTTGGCAGTAGAGGCTTTGATATTTGAACTTTAAATAAAATACTTTTGTAATGCATATACTGTAGGGGGTTGGGCAATATAGAAGTACCTTTGGGTCATCACCTGTTGGACAATATTGTTGGGACTGTTATATCATATCTAGTATACATATATTTTATACTAATGATAAAGTGTCACTGATCCATACAGGATATACAGAATTGAAGAATATATCTTAGATGACTGGGGTACTTGGTGCAGAGTAGATGTAATGCATTTTGCAGAGAAGGTCTGCTTTCTCAGGCCCAGATGTGTACTTTCTAAATTCTACAGAGAGATACACAGTATATGCAAATCCTTAGGGCAATACATATTGATATCACCATCTATGGTGTAACAAACCAACTATATTTACATACTGTAAACAGAAAAAACAGGGTCGTACTGACTCCCTAATGTAGACAGTCCAAGGGTTAACCATAGATCGGGACAAACCAAATTCAATGAAAAAATAGAACACTTTTATTCTGATAGATAATAATAGGTGAACACAGCCAACATCTTACTGTCAACTAATTAAAACCAATGACACAACAAAACTGACTGTTATGGGATAACATTCGGTAGTATATATTGACCCTCTGTATTCTGGGCAGCTGAGTGTCAGGACCATAGAAAACAGCTTCCAGTTTGGGAACATATACACTCCAGGTAAAGCAACAAAAGGATTTATCCAATATTTACTGTGTATCACATTGATTTGAAAATATATAGTATATCCCACAAGTCGCCACTTTGTTTCATTTAAATAAGCCTTTAGTCGGCGGTAAAAGGATATATAGTAGCTTCTTTAAAGGATCATGTTCTCATAAGGTGATGATTTACTATCTGATTTACTATCTGTGGATAACAACTTGTTAGATAATTTCCAGGCAAACAGAGAACTCTTTTCCTGTGTGGTATCCTGGATCATAGAGTATGTTACTTCAAAAAGGGGATTTTGTAAACTATACAATTTCTTTCAGTATAAATGTCTTATGGTGGTCGGTTGTGTTAGTGAGCGATGATAGGTGAGTCTTCCCCTTAATGATAAGTGTAAGGGGGCGTTTTTCTGAGTGGACAGTTAAGAAATCCACTACTAAAGAAATCGTCAGTCCTACTCACATATCCCACTCATCGATTCACAGGTGTCCGTTTTGAGTCGTTTCCGATAGTTGCATGGTTTAGGCTTTGAAAAAGGATCCAAAATCTCCCCCCGATTGAAGATCTGTATAGAAAATCCACAGGATAGCTTGAGTGCCAATAGCATTCAAATTAGAGATCTCTAAAGGCAATCCTTGATGCGGCTGGAGGGCCCCAAAAAGGCGCTGTAGGTCAGGACACTAATACAAAGTGTTTGAGGTTTTCCGGGTCATCCACCTAATTAGGTATGCAGCGTCAGCTTAGATCTTCTGTCAGATATATCTTAGATGACTGGGGGTACTTGGTGCCGAGCAGATGTAATGCATTTTGCAGACAAGGTCTGCTTTCTCAGACCCAGATGTGTACTTTCTAAATTCTACAGGGAGATACAAAGTATATACAAATCCTTAGGGCAATACATATTGACATCACCATATATGGTGTAACAAACAAACTGTATTTACATACTGCACTAAGTATACACCAACAACAGCGTATCAAAAAAACGTATGTGAATCTTACGTATCAAAATATGTGACGCTTACTGACCCATATGCTATCACAGCTCTGCATGCCACGTGCACAATGACCTCTACCTCACTAATATGATATGTGCCTTTAAAGTACTACATTGTACTGCTACTTGAGATCTATGGGCCCTTTGGCTTTACATGAACAGTAGAACAATGTCACCAGCACACCATGAGTTGAAAAAGCAAAATATTTTATTGCTAGTAGCTGTATCTCATTGGCAAGCGCTTTCGGGGCCTCGCAGGGTCCCCTTCATCAGGCTTAGAGGACCCTGCGAGGCCCCGAAAGCGCTTGCCAATGAGATACAGCTACTGGCAATAAAATATTTGGCTTTTTCAACTCATGGTGTGCTGGTGACATTTTTCTACTGTTCATGTGTGGCGGTGCCATCCGCAGTCATTTCGAGCACCCATCTTCATCAACTGGGAATCCCGGTAAGGAGTGCGGTATGGTTCCTGTTTCCGCTTTGGCTTTACATGACTTGCTTTTGATACCCTTATGCAAATATTGGGCCCATGGCCATGTTTTCTTCTTTTTATGTCAACTTTTGACACATTCCATTGTATGGGTCTTAAAACTGTTGTTTCCATCACCTGTATTGTGTATTAAATAAAAAACTATGGTTAAAAAAAAAAACTTATATAAATGTGCCGATCTAAACAATAAATAAGGACAAAAAAGGCATGTAAACCATGCGTTTCACATACCAAATCTAATATAGATGTGCCGAACTGAACCAATAATTCATGTGAACACAAAAACGTGCAAGCAAAATATGCATATATGTGGCTCCTGGCAACAAAATCATGCATACAACACCAAGATCATAAATAATATGTGCTGGAACATATAAAAAGTCTGTGAGTTGTGATCATCTATCACTCAGCAACGTCCACATGTGTATCTGTATGTGAAATTCTGATATAAAAGTTCCAAATGTGATAAGTCAATAAACAAGTGACGATATCCCTTCCACCTCACACCCCGTGATTAGAACCACACAGAGGGGGTGCTTTCCTGATCATTAAGACCCACTGAATAGGTCTCACCGCACAGTTCCCTTCTTAACTGGGGAGGGGGTCCCTTACTCAGGTTTCTTCTAATCCGGATCCTTTCCAGCAAGGATTTGTTATCACAGGATTCCCGGTACCTAGAGAGATATAAGCAAACAAACACCACACACTGCAATAGCAAAGAGAATGTCAGTTTATTTAATTAAGTTTAAATAAGACAGGTTCCCTTTTATATTCCCTAAAGATGAGATGAGATGAGATACGGGTTTGAGTATAACATGAGTTGGCTCTGGGTTGAACGTGAGTCAAACCCGACTTAAACCGAACCCAGGCTGGTCTACTCATTTGTTATTGTACTTGAATTAGCAGTAGTAGACAGGTGATAAGAAATCTGTGCCATTGGAAGCATGGCAGCATTTTAGAAAATATAATAACACATTAAAGGAGAAGGAACTTGCTTTGATCATAAATTATTATCTATACTTTCTTTATTTCTTGCACAAAGAACATCATACAACCTATACATCATCTAGTTGTAATTACATGAATTACCTCATGCAGCAAGAACCACACAATGTGACTATTCAGGCGTTGACATTGTACATGCATTTAAAAATTGTTCACATCATTCATCAACAATAATTTCTATAGAGCCTGATATGCCAGAAATGTTA